CCGTTGAGATGACATTTGATAAGCTGTTTTCACCCTTTGTGTCTTTTGTTCATATTTATTGCTTCACTTTCGGCGAAATAAATTCTCGGTTCAAGAGTTTCTTGAGAAATGGTTTGATGTTTCATAGAATGAAATCTACAAATTAGAAAAACAAGACGTTTTCATTGAAGTATAAAGACTGCACACACTACGAATGTATCGTAAGTTTTTATAGCAAGATTAGGAAATAGCATGAATCACGTTTTGTTATCTTATTGATGTTTCTCTTCGCTTTTTCATCGCAGCTGAGTTTACGTTCTCCATTTTACGGCATTCGATAAAATCTCACAAAATATGTAAAGCTTAAAATATCAATTTGTTTCTTTTTCAACGATTTATCACAGAACCGGGAAATTTATGACTCGCGCCGCTGAAAGAAGTAGAAGAAAGTGTTGGCCCTATCTCGTTGTGCCTCATTTATTCTGCGAAAGACTTTAGCGAAACGTTAAACGTCAAGAGAGGACATCGTTGCAGTCCTGAGCTTTTATAAAATTCTTCTGTACTTTGTAACTATCTCATAATTGCAATGACGTAGATGATGTTATACGCATAAGAAAATGTAAAGGAACTAATTAATGGGCTTTTGTCGTTAATATGAATAGCAATGCTTGAGAATACTATGTGAGCGAGTAAAAAATGTTAAGCCGGTATTAGAACAAGCGATTAATAACTCGAACACATTTTATGGACGTAAGCTGATTTCATGAAGAAAACTCTGTACATTTCTTAAAGATTTGAAAGAATGCATGTAATCAAATTTAAATATGCTTATAAAATGTTGATTTACTTGGCACAAGAATTCATAATCTATTGATAATTATTTTATCAACTATGAGACTGTAAAAGCGATTATGAGACCTAATTGGTCCGTTGTCGTCCAGCTTTTTGTGGCAAACGAGGCAATCAGAATCCTTTTACGGTGTCAAGTTTTCCCATCATCGCCTGAAATTACGGAAGCATCGATGGCTAATTAGAACGACCTGTTCGTCTTGAAGCGCGCGTATGATCGGAGTAATTAACGTCCACGGGCAAGCGTACGTTAATCACCCATTCAGCGAATTCTACGAAACTCTGTTCTTATTGTAATATATGGAAATTGCCCGCAACGCAAACACGCGTTTATGGTACACTGTCTGTGTGACGAGGGTGTGTGCGTGCGAGCAGGCTGTAAAGGTGCATTATGCGCGTAGAACGGCATAAGGAAGTCGGCTCGTGAATCCACCGACTTCCATTCCGATCTTAATGGAATCCTTATCGAGTACCTGCTATGAAAATCTGCCGTTTGTGTAACCTTTGCCTCAACAGATCTGGAAACTCTGAATCGTGAACGCTCTCGCAATTCGGTAGTATTTTCAATTACGGCATTACGCACATAGTTTTTTAAGGTTGTATAAACCCTTACATAAAAACAATTACAAAACATTGAAATTTTAACATTTACGACATATAGATAGTTGCAAGTCACGTACAGTCCAATAGAAAAATTCCAAAAGTATGTATTAGAATATTAGAAATTATGCGTTAAAAATTCCTTATCAGAAAAACAGATCGAATAATTTTNGCACACACTACGAATGTATCGTAAGTTTTTATAGCAAGATTAGGAAATAGCATGAATCACGTTTTGTTATCTTATTGATGTTTCTCTTCGCTTTTTCATCGCAGCTGAGTTTACGTTCTCCATTTTACGGCATTCGATAAAATCTCACAAAATATGTAAAGCTTAAAATATCAATTTGTTTCTTTTTCAACGATTTATCACAGAACCGGGAAATTTATGACTCGCGCCGCTGAAAGAAGTAGAAGAAAGTGTTGGCCCTATCTCGTTGTGCCTCATTTATTCTGCGAAAGACTTTAGCGAAACGTTAAACGTCAAGAGAGGACATCGTTGCAGTCCTGAGCTTTTATAAAATTCTTCTGTACTTTGTAACTATCTCATAATTGCAATGACTACGTAGATGATGTTATACGCATAAGAAAATGTAAAGGAACTAATTAATGGGCTTTTGTCGTTAATATGAATAGCAATGCTTGAGAATACTATGCGAGCGAGTAAAAAATGTTAAGCCGGTATTAGAACAAGCGATTAATAACTCGAACACATTTTATGGACGTAAGCTGATTTCATGAAGAAAACTCTGTACATTCGCAAGAAAAATGTTTCATAATATCCAATAATTTATCCGGTTTTCTCGCGTTCTCGGAAATTGTAAATACCACTTAAATCAATTTCCGTGCCACTTCCATATTTTCTCTTATTTGTTATATTCTATCGGTCCAATTATCAAACAAAATGGCTGCTTCATTTTCATCGAGATTTATCTTACGCTCGTTGATTAATCATTATCGTTGCACGAACGGTATTTTAACTGGGACGTTAATGAAATTGCGAGTTTCCTGCTTGAGATATGAGATAGCAATTTTATTAATAAAATTGTAATTAGAAAAGCAGGCTTGAAGTTTGTACATATTTTAAGTCTGTTATTGATAGAAAATAGGACATAAATTATTTGCAAATGCATTGATAGTTGCATTAATTGTTAGATAGGGAATTAGAGATATACGTCATTCAGTAATTAGGAAAATCGTTTGGATTCAGTAACTAAGCGTTAGTCATAGATTTGAACGAAGGTTCGTCAACAGCTGAGTAAGCGAAATACACTTGACTCATATTCAACTGTTTATAGTTACTTTATTTATGCACTTGGACTACATAATTAAGCTTCGTTCCGTATCTGAAGTTACGTTCAAGAATTCGGAAAATGGTTCATTTATATTTTACTGAATTCTTTGTACTTTGTACAAGATATAAAATAATTCAGATTGATTTAGCACAAAATTATGAAGTAACAAATCACGTTGATTTACAAGAGCTTCGAAATTTATTCTTTTCACGCATTCCACGAAAGTGAACGAATCCAATTTTCCCTTCGTGGACCACATGGATCTTGTTATCCACGGACCAGGCGAGGAACAAGTCAAAATCGTATAAATCGAGTTCATTCGTGGCCAGCTCGGCGGTAGCATAAATACACTCTCCATACGTGAAACCCATCCGAGCACTGGATAACTCTTTAAACTCGTAAATTCGTCGTCGCTCGATTACTCCACCTCGTCCCGCGCCCTTCTCGCACTCTTGAAAGAACGACGGGAAGTCTTTGCAGCGCTTCCGAAAGTGTCGAACGCAGAGCTCTTCCTCGATTCCCGTCAGTTTCCCGATTCAAAGGATGACTCCTACAATCTGATGAGCACCGATAAATGCATCATCTTTTTCTTTCTCTCTCTCTCTCTCTCTCCCCCTAGTTTCCCCCTTTTCTCTGTCGTTTATCGCGCGGGGACCGGGGCTTTATTGCGGTCGCGTTTGTAGGTACGTGGATGAAAAAGCATAACGTGAATAACTGTGCAGGGGACGGGAGCGGGACGGGTTGAAGGGACGGGAACGGGTGGCGCGATGCGACGTGCATTAGATACGGGCTGAGAGGCCGGCGGAGAGAAGAAACACCAAAGCGGGAGGGCGAGTCGTAAAACGCTGTAGTGCAAGAAGCGTCACAGTGACGCTCGGCGCGAGTGGGAGAGGGTGAGAATCGAGAGATGGGAGGCCCTGTGCTTGTGGCACAAAGTAGGCGCATCGCTTTATCGTCGGCAAAAGCCGGAGAGACACTCTCGTGCACTCCCTAACGCGCGTTCTTTCTCTCTTGCCCTGCACCTCTTCTTGGTCAGTATTTTTTCACCCACCGGCATCCATCTGCTTTTCGTCCTCCCAACCCTTTCTTTAGACGAGCCACCGGTTTTCATTCCCCCTCTTCGCATAACCCATTTTCCGTCCCCTTCTGCCCACGGGGTTCCCATCGATCGTCTTGCCTCTCTTCTCCGCGACTTTTTAGTACATCCAAGAAGTAACGAGACAGACATTAAATAAAAAATTAACAACAATTCGCGAACGTTCATACAAATCCAATCGAATCGATGATTGAATCTCTGTAAGGGTTTTGCACAGATGTTCTTAGACCGTGAATCGCCCACTATTGGGACCGGCGTTGGTTTATCAGAGTCCGTCGCGATCGCGGCGCGTTTTACAGTGCCGTAAAACGCCTCGTCATCGCGTACCTGCGCTTCGCTATAGCATCCTACGTCCGTGAATGGATCTCGCGCGTACAACGCACGGTTCCGCTCGTCTGCCGGTGCTCGGCTGCACGCCCACGCGCGTAGATTTATGCGCCAGATATTTGTATATATATATATACACACATGAATACGCGTGGGCGTATCAGCGGCGCGTCTCAATGGGTGGAAGAACTTGTTACGAGTGGAACCGAGCACAGCTGATAGGAACGCTCCCCGAGAATAACATCGACAAGAAAGAAACAGAAAAAGAGAGCACGCCGGTGTGAGACGGAGGGAAACGCATTGTAAATCGCACGTCATAATTGGAGAGAAGGCAATTATTGTTAATGTAAAAGTTTTCTCTTGGCGAATTTCTGTTACAAATCGCGACGAGGGGAGCCGAGTTCGCGTTTCGTATTAGTCATCGTGGCCGATCGTTATCGCTGAGTATAATCGCGGGTTCTCGAATGTAATCGCCACCGTGGATGATTTATCGTTGCCTATTATCATAGAATGGGAGCACGTTCGACGAACGGGCATACTGTTAGTTTTTCAGTAGTCGCATAAAGCAATCGCGCTCGCACCTACGCGAATTACGCTTGTATATACTCCGAGTTCACCGTCGGCACGTGAACTCGACGATTGTCTATGTTTAGGAAAGCTTCCCGTGTATCTGATATCAAATTACATTTGATAATTACGTCTCGATCTGTTGCAATCTAACTGTCTCTCCAGTTAAGCCCGGCTACGAACCGAGTATCGTTCGAGCCGCGCGCGAAGAACGTAGAGACGAGATGCTAGAGGAGGAATTCGATAACCACTTTCTCAAAGATATCCCCACGTTTGGTGTGTTTCAGGCGACGTGATTGGCCAGCGGTTCCTGGGAAACGAGAGCCACGTGGAACACTTCAAGCTCCTGGAGCGCGCGACCACTTCCATCCTGATTGGCGCCAGGTAATTGTTATTCGATTCGACTTTTTTCCCTCCAGGCAGAGGTCAGCAGATGGTCATCGCGTCGGCCAGATTCTTCGTAACGTCGTCGTGTCGTTCGATCCGGGTCTGCCGTCGAGTCACTCCCTCGATTACGCGGCACGGCCAGCCCCAATGACGCGACTCGCGCAGCCCCCTTACGACTATGACGTGTCCCTCTTTAATTTTACATGAGCGTATTCACCCGGATCGATCAGCCACCGGGCTTTTTGATACGGAATAAATTGCTTTACCGAGAAGACGAGGAGCACTACCTTCATAGGTTTTTACCGTAATTAAACGCCGGAGGAAACTTATTCCGAGACCGATAAGGAATCATTGATTAACATGAATGTTACATGGGATTATTGTAATAGAGAAATTCCCTTATGCATTTTTAAAGTAATTCCCTCGAAATGAGGCCATTTCGAACAGGATTCAATTGGCCATTGTAATAATTATCGTGCCGGGGCAATATTACTGTTTACTGTTATCCTCCTCGAGGGCGTGATAGATTAATTCACAAGAACTAATCCACAATCTATTAACGAGCAACGTTTATCAGAACTGCGTTGTACTGGTTAATATCAGTTCGATTCTGATTTAAAAGATCAATCGGAAATTAGATGAAACATGATGTTCCATCAGTTTCATTTGCGAACAACAGATTTCTTTCAAATTCGCATCTTTATTGCGCAAGAAAAATCCGTACGTCGATTCTAAAGAGGACAGATAGAAGAGATTCATGAATAACCAATGGCCAATGTCGAAAATATAAACGTTTATGATAAAGACAATAAAAGTGTTCGGCGGATATACACCGCGCGAACAGAGAGCATCGGTAGTGGCTATAAAAGGAATGTAAATCCTACGGGCGCGGGTGTCGGCAAACGAAAAAATCGTAAATTCTAAACGGGGCTTCGCGGCACGAAAGAAACACTGAATTCCAGTTGACTATGGTTTACATTTCGAGTTCTCCAACCGGTGACGCATTTCCGCGCGCGATAGTAGCTCGTATTTTCGTTCCTTTTAACACGTTCCGCGGCACGGAACCGTGGCTTTCCCGCTCTCGATATGTTTCACTTTAAAGGCGAAAGTCTGACGAGCAAACGGTTCCGAAGGCACGTAATGGAATGGAGATCGAATTCGCCGAGAATAGATTTTCGCCTCGCCGAATCCCAACCCGTCCGTCTTCCAAGAAACGATCGCTCGTTTTATCAAATTAATCTCGTTAATGGACTCAGATGTTTTTTTCCCTTCGCGTTAATAAGTTATTTTACAATTCGTTTGGAATTTTTAATATTTAAATAAGAATGATTAATTAGAGTATACGAATTGAACAATCTTCTAAGTGATTGAAGAAGTGCTGACTTTGTCTAGTTGATGTACATTTTATCACTTATACAATTATAGTTTTATGCTGTTGGATCATGATTGATCAAATCAATTAATTCGTTTATTCATTGCAATAAAATTCAATAAAGGAACGAGTATATAACAGATATGGTCTTGTGTAAGGCAGGATGCGAGGACTGTAATTTACGGGGAAGGATTGAGGCGAGTAAACCGTGCTCGATACTTGGTAGTTAATACGGTGTGTGTCGGATAATTGCCAGGTTAACTGATATAACAATAATAACAAGTTTCGACGCATGCTCGGTTAATTATCGGCAAGTCCGACACATCTTCGGGGAACACAGAAGTAAGTTCTGATCCCGAGTTCTCCCGCGTCCTCGTATAAACAGTCTTATCGATCGCGATTAACTTCCAATTTTACCCCCGGTGGAAACTTCGTTTGAACTTTTCCCTTCCGCGATTAGCGAGTGTCTGAGTGATTTCAATGGTAGAAAGTTCCCGGAGAGTTTCTCACTAGGTCGACCAGGTAACGATAATGCTCATTATATTTTAATGTATCGCCGTTTCGTGAGAAGTGGGATTACAATGTTCGTTTTACGTCCGTGGTGTCGTACGTTCAAACGATTTCCTGTCCCAGGAAAATTTGTGTTGTCACAGCGGTAATTGTTTAAAATACGCTATTAATTGTCGCGCCAACATGCATCTTCCTTCGTTTCGTTCATTCCCCCTGTCAAGTTCAGAACACCTCGCGGATTGCGATTGTCTTGCGTTTGAATAATTTGCACTGATGTAAAGTTTGCACGATTGATTAGATGAACGAAGAAAACTCGGCGACAGGTTTTGTCGCGATTAAACAAACTAATTTCAGCAGAACAGGGGCAAACGAAGTTTCCAACTAGTGTGACACATTAAGGCCGATGCATCCTGCTGAAACTTAATACATGGGCTGACTTAGTACGAAAATCCAATTACTTCGGCGCAAAAGTTGTCTTTAACCGTTTAATATTTTGCGACGACGTCATTAATTGCTTCAATGATCCAGATGAATTAGAAAAAAAATGAGCAATTACAACAAACTTGAAATTTAAAACGTCTCGCGAGGAAACAACGAATGAGAAGGATTTACACCGCGAATAAAACTTTGTTCGTTTCCTACGAAGTCCGTTTTATTTTCTCTCTCTCTCTCTTGCCTGTACGATTTTCATCCAGGCGTTGTTTCCATCAGGCCAGCGCTATAGTAATCACTAATGCTTATCCCGGCGTCCCGTTCTCGAGATTGTATTCGAGGGACGAAAGAATGCGCGATGCGAGAAGATTAGGCGAAGGATTTACGAGGCGAAGACTTAACGTTCCCGTTTTGCGGTTTTTTTCTCTGTTCCAGAAACGCCATTTACAACATAAGTTTGCACGACCTAACGGAGATCGCCGACCAGGTGAGTGCAACGCCTTTTATTTATTCCTCGAGCACGCTGTTTGACAAACGCGTTATATTAAAATAAAACCGTCGGCGAGGACTCGTTTCACTGCCGATGGGGTGAATTAAACTCTCGGATTCTGATAAAAAACTGATCTATCGCGGGTCGCATTATCCCGTCCGAATTCGCGTTAAACGAAACGGGGGCTGGATTAAAAAGAGACGGTTTATCACGAAATCGGGAACAACATTTCTGGCACGGCACGATTCGAACGATTTTATCGCGAACGCAGAGTGTGGCGAGTATTTTTTAATTCGCCCGTAAAGAAATACGAGCGTCGCCATTACCGTAGTTCTCGTACTGGGCTGGTTATGTACTCGCTGGTAGCAACATTTATTTACTGTGGTTTGCGCTCTGGTAACAAATCGCGATTGGAAGGACGGGGAAGCGACGATTTTTCATCCATAAAAACGAAACGAATGCGAGATCGGATTGACCGATACGTTTCCTTTTAAATGAAAAGCTCTGATTTTAACCGGTGACGCAATTTTGTATTCGCCTCGTCGATACACGAGTTCTGATTGTGGAAAATAAGAATTTGACTGATATAATTCAACCTGCTTTCACGAGAAATAAATTTTAAATATATGCACATACATTCCTATTGACTTTGTATAAGAGCTTAGGTGGAGTGAGACGGGTGTTTTCTCTCGGCCAACAAATTTAAAATCAGCCGGTTGAAAGCGCGGATGGATTTGCATGATAATGGGTGTTTTTCAAGTTCCGTGTGTAATTCGAGCTGCTCGCAATCCGTTCGCAAACAGTCAGGAATCGTCGATCGACTTTCGTGGACTCTCCGTACCACGCGGGATCGTCGGCGAATATTCTTTGAAAAATTTTAACTTCCCAACTCGACGGATTCAATTAATCAGCGCAGTTCCATTCAGGTCGCGGAACACGATCACGGCAAATGTCTGCTTATAAATTTTCTTAGGATCACACGAAACTATTAAACGATTGATATGCTCGACCTAATGAAGGTTCGATGAACTCTTAGATAAAAACAATGACAAAGCATTGAAATTTTAACAGTTATTAGATATCACGTTAATAAAACATTGCATAACAAAACCTTTTCGAGGAGTTGATTGCTTCAAATATTGGACACAGCTTTTTATTATATGTCTTAAACTTTTGGCAGAGATTTTACGTCTCATACAACCTTAATTGCTACACAACATGCCGAATACTTTCCCCAGCCATACGACGACACATTTCTGGTTAAATTTAAAATTGCGTCGCTTATTAATATAAACGAGATCAGAAACTCGATCTCTCCAGCGTGTTCCATGATCGATTCGACGCACTCGGTACGCTGGCTACGGCCGTACTACACGTCATCGTGTGGCTCGGTTGATAGAACGGTGACACGTATTAATCGACGCCTCTATCGGAGTCCTCGTGGACGGTGTAATAAATTGGAAGCAATTAATTCTTACCACCGACACTGCTCGTACACGCGTGTACACGCGCGTAAAACGTTGCACAATCAATCGGGATTTCTTCTCCCTCCGATATGGACGAAAGTCACTGTTAATTGAAGAATTTCCAGTTTCGGTAAACGAGATTCCCTCGGGTTTACGTAACGCGAGTTGTTAAGAGAAATACACGATTCGAATTGATTACGAGATTTCGATTCACGGCTCCAAACAATTTTCAGTTACGTAATTACCGTAGCAAGCGTAATTTATATATTACGATCGCAAATAGGAATACAATTGTTTAAGGTTGTATAAGCCGTACGATCTCTGCCAAAAGTGTAAGACATGTAATAAAAGCAATGAACTTTTAGAAAAAATGATAATTACAGGGGAGCATGGTTTATAAAATTGTTCGATCTGATTTTCTCATAAGGAATTTTTAACGCACAGTTAATAGCTAATACATAGTTTCGACATTTTTTTATTGGACTGTACGTGACTTGCAATTGTCTACATGTCCTATAA